GAGCCCGACTCTTGTAAAGAGACCATTATAACAGCGGGCCATGTTTGTTGCTACATTGCGGCCGTCAAAATTTTGAAGCCGTGAAGAAAAGAGGACAAACTTCTTTCCAGTTCCACCGTCTGTGGCGACACGCAGCAGCAGCAGCAGCACAGGCCTTCTCGAACACCGGGTCTCAGGGACCACCGCAACAGTGCAGGTTTAGCAATCATCAGGTGCAATGGGCGTTCACGAGGACTTTGTCTTGTTGTTATACTGAAGCTTGCTAAGCGTGGACAGAGCACGCACGCTGCAGCGAGTGGCGTTCGAGGCCGTGCTCTGCCGGCTGCGTGCGACCCCCAATCGGCGCGGGGAGGGGGGGAGGTTCTGGATGCACGGCCCGCGGTGCTTTCCGTCATCGCAGCTTTTCCAAATGTCAATTGCGAACTTTTTTTTTTAGCAGATCGGCAAATTCGGGGAACGGCGCCCAACAATGACCCATTTAACCGAATGAGAGCCCGATTCATCATTAGCTGCATAGGATACCCGAACATACTGTCGTTCCGTAGGCACAAATATAATTTTACAATTTAGTCGTGGGCAGTCTCACACGGAGAAATTTGAGCGAAGACGAAGGCACATCGTGGTCTAGCGCTCCGTGTCGGAATCCGCCTGGCAGCGGTCAGCACCTTTGGTTCCAATAATGCCCTGCGGAAATTACCAGGCCGCTGCGGGAAATCGAACTCCAAACTGGCTGCGTGGTATTGACCACGACTCTTTGCAGCACGGGCACCGTCCACCTTTGCACGTCATCATCGCTGATGTTAAGGGAGCACACAACCGAAATAACGAGGGTTGCTTTGTAGGCGAGCTGTGTATTGTGGGGCCGTCCCAGGTGCATTTAATTCTAAAATGGGAGGGGGGGGGGAACCCCCACGCGACATTCACGTGCACCGCCACCGCCACCGTCGCAATTGCCTCCCTCCATCGACGTCACTGGGTTCGGAATGCCCAGCATGCACCGCGGCACCGAATACGCGTTCGTGCAGCTGAAGACGAGTGCACAGCCACACGCTGGGGCCGCCGTGACCCCCCCCTCCCCACTACGATGTGACGACGCACAGTCGGAGCCGCACAAAGCGAGTCTACAGAGCTCGGGACGTGTGGGGGGGGGGGGGGGCGTTTAATAGCCGCGAGGGCATCGCATCGTCCTGGAGCAGCAGAATGTTTAATGTCCAAAAAATTCTTAATTAATATGTACACATTGCCTCGGATAGATCGTGTCCATGATCGACAAAGAAGCAACGTGGTTTATGGTTTGCGTCGCAATCTAAATCGTGGCACGAGCTGCATGTCATGGCACGCACGAGGGCGTCCCAAAAAACGCGCAACCCGCCAGAGTTAGTGATGGGCGACCCGAACAAGAGGGCCGACGGTAACCCGACAGGCAACCCCGACCACCACTCGGGCAAGAGCAGAGCGGCCACTGCGATGGTACAAATCACGCGGGGCTCGTGGGCAACTGATGCTGAACGTGCGAGCGCCTTCTCGGCCGAGCGCGCGCGATACCCGATCCGCGGTTCACCTCCAAATGCTGCCTCTCGGCGTCTCTTGAAACACCCCTCGACCTTGTCTGCGCACGAATCTGTAGCGGTGAAAATTCCTCCACCATTGCACATTGGCCTAAAGTGTAAACGTGTTATTGACGAGAGACAGATTGAGAGCGGTAACATCAAGCGGGACAGAGGCACGTGCCATATACTTGCCCTCACCGACATTACACTACAACGTGACATCGAATGCCTTTCTGCATTTCACCCCACCACACCCGTGCACAGTAACATCTAAAGCCTTTAACAACACAAGGCCACTTATTCAGTCAGGATCGACATTCTCAAACATAGCTTCTGGGAGACCAGAATTCGGGCCGATGTCATGGCTCAAAGTCTGGTTTTACAGGAACGCCACTGGGAGACGTGCGGCACAGCAACATTCCAAGATTCAATCATCGACAGGGCTGGCTGGCGTCGTCGGTTTGCAAGGAATTGACACAATTTGGGGTAGCGACTTTTAGCTCCGCACGCTTCACTCATTGCGACAAATGGAGACACAAACTCACCAATGCCTCGCCTATGCTTGGCTGCAATGAAGCTATGAGCCCTCCCCCTACTGCGGCCTGAACATCAATCTCGTCGAACTTCGAGATGCAGCAGTAGCTGGATTTACACTGGGCCCTTCGGCCGACATGAAATTGAGCTGACAAACATAGTACGTTGAGCGTTGTTCACGAAAAAAATCGTGTAAAAAAATACCTCCGACATCGTTTCTACCCAATTGTGTTATTGACGTCATGTCACGAGACAAAAGCGTTCATTCGGATCTGTCGCGGAACGGTGCGTTAAGAGGACAGCCCACAGAAGCAGATTACACAGAACCACCTCGAGATCCCTTCGAGTGACCTCGAGTCCATATAGAAGGGGAGATCATTTTCTCACCTGCCCTGCTACTGACAGCAATAATAGTCAAACTGAAAACCAATGCTATGGAATGTAGCCCAATTAAGTTTGAGAACCACATCATAATGACTGTTTTTTTTCGTGCAGTCATCGGTGACACCAGGCTGAGGCCATCAATTTACTACCAACGGTCTAGGGCTCAGAAACCGAGCAGTACCAGCTCGGCAAACTGACCTCCGAGCCACCTCGCCACCTGAACTTGCATCACAACACCTAAATGCAAGCGCTGCGCACGTTCTGCCCGACTTCATCACTGCTCAGGCCCATCTGAGTTCCCCCCCCCCTTCTGCTCTGTATAAGTAGTGAAAGGGAGCATCATGCTGCCATAGCTTTGTGGCCAACATTTACGGGACACGCAACGTCTCGCATCGTCGCCACGGTCTCGCGGATTGTCACAAATCTGGGGTCGCCATTCAATGGTCCATTTTGCGTCTCGTTTTCCATTTGTTCTCTCAACTGGAGTCGTTCTCTGCATTAGGCTACAATACACCGGCGTATATAACGAGCATATTTTGTTGCATAAATCAAAGCAGATTCTAATGCAAGCATTATCATCATCATGAGCGCCGGAATTGCTTTGCGATTGGTGAATTCGTCGATGCCTCAGCGGTCCGCCGGGCCCCACGGAAAAACAACGAGCAGCGGCACACAGATCGGCAGCGACGGCACAATCCGAGAACTTATTTAATTTCTCTTGGACGGGCGACAGCGGTACCCTTCGAGAGAAACTTTTGCTTGGAGAGAATGGTGACAAAGTGGCCAGGCCAAGGAAACGGAACCACACTGAGCAGCCGGGTGAAAACGAATGCCAAAAAAAACGAAAGGGAGGACGTTCAAATAAAATAGACGGTCATTGAGTTCACACGAGAGCCGGGAAGCGGTCTCTACACTCACGGGACTACCAACACCAAAACCTGAACCAGAGCTGGAGGAGAGAAGACCGAGCCGGCTGGCAAAGTCAGTCCGCGCTGGTTCTCGAGGACGCTCACTGCCAGGTGACGCCACGCCGACGACACGACGCTACCCACAGGTTCACAACGGGGGATCGGTGCCCTCGATTCGGCTTGCACGCACGGGAGCCCACGACTCGGCTTCAGCTGGGACTGCCACGGCAAGACGCATCCCCGCCACGAGTCGATCGGAGTTTACGGCAGCGATGCCGTGGGACAATCAGCTCCAGTCAGGAGCAGTTCCTGCACGCATGCATCGTGGACTATATGAAAATAGAGTTACGTTTGCTCTACTTCAATTATTTATCAGTTTAACAAAGTCAATTTATATCCTACCCAAACTTAAAAAAAAATCTATTTTGGACAATTCCTACAACCTCCGATGTGTACTGGGTATTGTTGTGATGGAGAGGGTGCTTTGCTTGAAGGATACCGTGTAGCATGTGCAAAAGTGTCTACAACAGGCAGGCGGACGCACACCGAGTAAAAGCGAAAAGTGAGATTACTTTGTATATATTCCTCACTGGAAGGAACGGAGAGAAAACAAAATCCACTTTACAAGTCACGGTATTCTCCGGAAGGGAAAATATCTTTCTAAACTCTTAACCGGTTCAGGTTCGAGTTTATTGCATCGATTCAAAGTTTAGTTCACGTTTCGTGGACATGGGATTCCGCGAAGCCCGTCTCTGCGCCACCACCTGCCTCGGGGCCGTGCGCGCAGCCCAGGAATCAGCGCCGAGAGGCGGCACCACCACCCAGGCGAAGAGGGGCCGGTGGCGCGCATCGTGCGGAGCGTCACCACGCACGGGGCGGGGGGGGGGGGTCACGGCCACACCTGACGATGCCGCCGTGACGGCCGGGGGTCACGCACGGTCAGGGCCAACCAAGCGGCGGCACACGGGCCGGGGGGGAGGGTTGTGGGAGACTGAAATCGTCTGGGCGTGGCGAGGGCGGTGAAGATGACGCGCGTAAGACGCTGGGCCATTAAAGTCGAGCAGGGATGGTGCAGCAGAGTGAGCACCGTCTCTGACCTACACGTGTACTGTATGTGCATTTTCATTCTCCACTCTGGATTTCTCCCACGTACACCAACAGCGACCTCATCAAAGAATGCCCGTCGGTCGTCTTCTGACGTAGAACCCCTTTTGAACAAAACAGCGTCTTTACACGCAGAGGGGACCTTTTAGGCACACAAATCAAAATCGAACTTAGCAATGGATAACGCCAGCACGTCGGTATTGGCAGGTGGTCCTTCACAAAGTAAGCGCAGGAGCAGCAGTTGCACACACGACGGGCAACACTTCACAAGGCCACGGTGTCGCGCGGTCAACGTTCACTAAAGCAATGTCCTCGTGTCTCCGTGGGGTGTTGGGCCTGGCCTGGTTGAGCCAGACCATTCCCATTCTCTTTGGGACGATGAGGCTCCCGCACCTCTCTCTACCGTTCGCTAGACGGCTCTCCCAAGTTACGTGTCCCCCCCTTTTAGAGGCAAAGCGTCACGGCGTGGTCAGGCGTACAGAGACAAGGGCGGTTGGTCACGTAGCACGTAAAAACTTAGTACTTTTTAAACGCTGAAGAATTTTTATTTTTAGATATATAAAAACATTAAATGATTGAAAATAAAAATGACTAATTGATGTTCGTAACTTTACCCCTTATTGTTTAGCTTACAAAGTGTGGTCACCACCGCGAGCATCACCTGGCGGCATGGCGCGGGGACCTTAGGCAGCATGGCCACGGAGGGCCGCAATGTCCACTTGGAGCCCCGGCGAGGAACATCGGGATCATGCGCATTTTCAAAACCCACAGATGAAGGAGATAGTGCTGTGCAAAGAGTTTTATAACAACACGCTTTGATAATGCGCACAAAAAATTTGGTGCATTACACGCAAAAAAATATATTCAAAACGCACCAGAGATGGTTCAAACTGATATAACTTCATGATGAGTAAATTCGAAATGTTTCAAATGTGGAAGTTTTAAAGTCAAATGTGCAATCGTCACTCGCACAAGATACGAGCCGTGTCCGCGCCTATCCAATGGGAGCACGGCGAAGCTCCAAGGAGCCCAGTGGAATTGCAAGCCCCCTGCCCGTTTCAAGAGAAGTTGATTCGTGTACACAGCCTCATGGACTCGGTGAGCAACGCCACGGGTGAGCCAGTCAACATCCTTGAGCAGCCTCAGTTGAGTTGTTTTTTTATGCATATGTACGTTGAACTTCTTTCGCACCGTACGTAGCCAACCGTGCCAATCGTCGGATTTTTGCCCCCCGTGCTCTCAAAACGTTATCCGAGATTTAAATGGAACAGGCAAATGTAGAGGTGGCCCAGGCGGTTCGGGGAGCCAGCACCGCGTCAAGAGCACCGAGGAGGGAGGCATAGCCGAGAGCCTGGGACCACGCAAAGGCAGCCGCCCCACGGTTAAACCGATCGCTCGGGTACGGCAAGCGGTCTCGCGTCGGCCACCCGCCGACGGTTGAATTGTCATTTCGTTTGGCGGATTCCCTCTCTGTGCAGGGCACGTGGTAGTGTGTGCAAGAGGCATAGTGAAGAGCCCCTAAAAGTAGTCCTACGGCGTCTTCTTCCGAGAGGCGGTTCTTTAACACCAAGCGATGCACCGCTGGCTGTCACCGCCGAAGGTTACAAATGCAAATTTCTCCACGCCACAGCACGACTGATAAAGGACCAACGAAAGATATTTTGGGTACAACATAGAAAGGAAAACACAGGAAAGAGTGAGGTTTACAACATTTGCCGTTTCATTGCTATGGTAAACACTTTTGTAAAACTCATGAAAAGTAAACTCGAGGTGTAGATTATTTAAGGGGTTGGACTTGGGTTGTAGTCAAGCTTTGGGACCGCGATCGGTGGCTGTGAACCTCTGCTCCAGGAGACCCACCGTCAGGAAGCGCGCACAGCTCCAGACGGGGTTTTTGTTTTCTGAGCATCAACAGCAATGGGGGGTGGGCACTGACCCTCCATTGGTGGCAAAGAAGTACATTTTGCGTTACATTTCACATTCCTATGACAGGGGCCTGTGTATTCAAATTGGATGACCCAACTGTTGACGTCCCGAATCGCAACCTACTAATGGCGAACGCTCTGACCGGAGTGCCGCTCATTTGCTCGGCGTTATATTTCATATTGAGAAGCCAAATGGGAAAGGAAGACGCACCGCTAACAAATGGGATGAGCTGCTGCCGCCGCTGCTTTTACACGAACCTCACCCCACGGCCCGCCAGCACGTCGCGTCAAATCACCACGCGTCGCCGCAGCCTCCTCCTTTCAGTCTCTCCTGGCGCGTCGCCCGTGTGCCATTAAGCGAAACCCGGTCTCCTGCAGCTAAAGTTGTATGCTTCAGAATGAATGTTTCCACAGCTTTTCGGGGAGTGGGGTGGGGGGGAGATAGGGTCATGGACAAAAATAAATGACAACCTTGTGAACGAACACAAAGCGTCCCACACGTCTGCGCGGTCCGCACCGTGGAGGGGGGACCTTGTTGTTTCCGACGCAGCACTGCTGGGAGGTGCGTTGCACGGCCGAGCTCACACGCGGCTCGCTCGCTGCGGGTCCCAGTCGTGGGCTTTCTCGGCAATACACTCGTTTTAAAAACACAACCGCAAATTCGCTTAAAATCAAACACCCCCGTCTTCTTTCACCCGCCGACCTCTCTAACAACAATAGTAATACTCTGTGCACCGAAGCAAGTCTACAGTCGTTTTTTGCTAAAATACGACTTGTCCGCGCTTTTTATTTTCCCCGTCATAAAAAAGATCTTCATGAATGCATCTGCCCCTGCCCTCTACGTGCTGGCACAGGGGGCGGCTTCAGGAGGCCCGGCGAGACACACGGAGCTCTCATTCCCCCCCAACCCTCAGTCAGATGGAAAGTTCTACTCAAGTCTCGCCAAATGCAGGTGAGGCACTCGAAGAAATGGAAGCACGGCCTGAATTCGGGCTACCCCAAACACAGACCAAATCGATTTTAATGTACTAATTGGCCACGTACAATGAAAGTCAAACGACTTTCATCGATCTCTTGAAACGGAGACTTGGACAACTGGTACAGATACGTGGCGGGGAGGGACAGTCTGGTGTGGCAAGAAAGTGGTGTGTAAATGTCAACGTGGGATTTGGCTCCGATCTTGGTACACGAATGCCGAGCTTATTGAAAAACTCCACGTGACAGCAGGTGGCGCTGTAAACACCACGAGTGGAAAGACCACGAACAGTAAAATGGGAGCTACACGAAGCATCAGTGGATTGGGTCACAATGATGGATGTGCTCCAAGTGGAGCGTGTGCCTGGGGGGGGGGGGGGGGGAGTTAATCCGTTGGTTAAGAGCACGGGGGTAGGGCGCGCGGGTCTGGTTGGCTGGTGTGGTTCGTATTGCGGGCAGGGTTATACGTTATGATTGGCCGCTATTTTAGCTCCGTCGCCTAACAGTTGTCTTCTTTCCCCGATCGCCAAGCCCGGCACTGCAGGTTCTCCGCCGTTCACCTTCGGTTGTCGCGCTGCGCTCTCGGCGTTTCCAATACGAGGGGTCGTTAGCGGGCAGCGATAGTCGGCGGCACGCATTGAATGCACACGGGCCGAGCGTGGCGAGCAGTTTGACTGCAAAGCCACTGAGCAGCACACCACATTTCCACACTTCCACTACCTCAACACCAGCATCTCGTCTCCTTTAACACACACATACACACTTGTTTAATGAACACCCTCGTTAAAGCCGCCCCTTGTAGAGCCATCCCCATACCCAGTTGTCACGAACCAGGCAACGACGAGTTGAAGAAATGCCCTGCAAATATTTAGTTTTCTATTTATGTATGCATCTCTCTCACGTTCTCTTTCTATTCCACTCAAAAGCAAAACGTTTACAATATCGGAAGGGGGGGGGGGGAGAAAATAAACACAACAATGAAATAAAAACTTCTTTTAAAACACACGCTTATAGTCCGTGGGTGGTTAACATCGCCGCTGTAACGCCGGCGAGCCTTGCTCCGTGGTGCCGGGCAGCTTGAGGCGGGCGGCGGGGCACGGCGGGAGGCGCAACTCGTCCCATCGCTCGCGTCTCGGCGAGCGGCACGAGCGCAGCGGAGCGCTCGTGGCGTTTGTCTCTGTGCGCGACCCCGAAGCTCCACCGGGCGGTGGGGGCAGGCTGCCCGTAGCGCGTGGGTGCATCATGCGCGTGTGCAACAAAATAAACAAAAATAATAATGAGTCGGGTTGGCTGGGTCGTATTTTTTTTCCGGAGCGCATGCATTGGCTCTTCTTCGCTCCAAAACACTCGCACGCACGCACCACGCACACGACGCACGCGCCCCCCGTGCGTTGTGTGCGACACTAAAGGTAGTCTTCGAGCCGCGCGAATGCGCACGCCCCGAGGCTGGAGCGGGACATGAGGCGCAGGCACTCGGTCACCTGCCCCACGGCCAGCAGCAGCGCCGGCTGCTTGGGAAGGCCCTGAGCCTCTGCAGAGACAAGGGCAGCAGCAGCAGCACACACGCAACGTGGTCAGACGTCGCCACTCGGCCGCGGGTCTCGCATTCGACAAGCCACGGTGTAATAATCCTGATCAATTTGGCAACGGGCTGGTACTCAACATTTCCTTTTGCGGCCCTCAGCTGGTGATGGAAATTCCACATTCCTATGCAACTGGCTAGTACCCCCCAAAGTAGGATGACTACTGACTGTCGATGCCCACGGTGACCCCAAACAGATGAAGAGATGAAATGACCCCTAAAAGGAAAAAAACTTTAATATTCCCAATTTTGCACCAAGCATTTCGAACATAGCCATGTGGCCAGCTACATGGCTGGCCACATGGCTCCACCAAGCATAGCCCATGTGGCCAGCTATTCTTCAGAAAACTCTCATACGAAAAAAAGGATGTTCAATTTTGCCACCAATTACATTGTAATAACGCATCCTGGCAGTGGGATGTCAAGGCCACTTGTGTCCACACGCGTGTGTCCGAATGCTGCACCTAGGATAGTGCTGTTGAGTGCACTGCAGATCTGTTCCCTCTGCGTGGCTTCGAGCTGATAGCCCACGGGGCTGTTCCAGGGGTCGGCGTACGCCAGCAAGCTGAACGCGTCCTGCACCAACGCACGCACGCAAACGCCACGCATGGCACTCGGTCTACAGAGGCAATATACACAACACGCTCCTAGCCCCCGCCCCGCCAATACAACAGCTCCAAAAAATTGCAGCCTCCCCCCGAACGCCACACGATGCCCAAGGCAACCGATTGAAACTTGCATCGGCTGAAAAGGAAAGGGCGTGCTTTTATGTATGTACGTTGAACTTCTTTCACACCATTCACAATTGCCATTGATCACACGATGTTATTATTTTGCACGTATAATCCTAATTCGGCATTTAAAGCCTTGATACGGTATTTATTTCTCTGCTGTAAAAAAGCAATCGTAAGGTTTTGTGTTTTTCTATTTGGATAAAATTTCTACAAAAAAGAAAGTTAAATATGTTTTATTTGACGACTAAAAGAATACCGTTGCGAATGGAAGAACAAAGTTTACCAAGTGATGTTTTTTCCCCCATCCCGATGTTACATGTGCGTCACCCCGTGTGGGCATATAATGGCAGATTGTGTTTCAGCAGTGACATTGGTGTCTCTCCCCTTCTCAGTGGCACTCGAGGCTCAGGCTCTTTGCAAACAAATGTACATGTGCGTTGAACTTGTCGCCCCGGTCGGAGCCAACCGTGATAATTCAAGGTGTGGAGGAAGGACAACAAAGTAAACACACAAGTGACTTGTTAGCCGTGAAATTGAAAATTATTTTTCGGGAAGTTACATTATAACGAGCAGTTGTGCAAGAAATCCACAGTCCAAGACGCCACAAATTCTGCACAAGAGTAAACAAAAAATCGAAATCATCACGATCAACGCTTGTGATTCCACCACGCTGCCATCGCTCTCCAAGCTCCGCTCATGACCAAGTCTCCGGACGTTGCCTCTCCAGTGCGAATGCCGCCTTGAAGGCAACAGAGCGGGGATCGCCGTGCTCGAGGTGTTTACGTCGTGCGGCGGTTAGCGCTACGCCGCACTACGAACCCGGCGATGCGAGTTCGATTCCCGCTCATGGCCACCAGCAACAAAAGTGACGATTATCTAAACCGGTCCTGGGCCTCCCCTAGGTCGACTCAGCCTCAAATGAGTACCTGGTGCGGTGTGTAAACATCACCACTGGGGAGACAAAGGCGTCTGGACGTGATGGTGGCCACCCCTCTCTCTCGTGTGCCGTTCCGGCCTTCATACATGATGGTCGCTAACAACATTCCGTTGTTCAGGCGATACGGGAGATATTTGTTGTAGTGTGTGCGTGTGTGCGCTTGCCTGCAGCGTGCGCGAGTTGTCGACGGTGTGCTTGCCGTCCTCGCGGGTCAGCGTGTCGCACATGAGCTGCAGCTCCCGGCCAAACTGGATCATTCGCTCCACGGCCGCCTGGAACCCCCCGCACAGCTGCCTCCGCACACCAGCCACGTCTACGTCTGGAACACACCGCGCACGCCACATTACCCCAACCGCAAGAAGCACACGCACCGGACAAATGGCAGTTCAACACCACACGCAGACACAACACATCCACAGGCACCGCACTCACAACGCACATCATGCGGACCGGACACTGCACAGACCGCATCCAGGCACGTGCACAGGTACACACAAACAGCGTGCACAATGCACCCACGCGCAATACGCTCGTGTAAAACACTTGGTGCGGGGAACACAGCATGGTGCACTGGCTACGGGAAAAGTTCGCTACGTGCGACTCGTGACAGGGAACAACACTCACTCTGGGCAACACAAAACCACGGGCGACACTCGCAGGTGCCCTCGGTACGGCCGACGCTCACGACTCACCTCGGGATGAGTACAGGATGCGGAACCCACCGCGGGGTTCCGCACGCTGGGAAACGGTGGTGAGATGTTAACTACCTCGCCTGGTATACAGGAGGTCGTGGGTTCGATCCCGACCCTGAGGCCTGCTGTGTATTTGGAGTTTGCGTGTCTCTCTCTCTCCGTGGTGAGATATTAACTACTCGCCTGGTATACAGGAGGTCGTGGGTTCGATCCCGACCCTGAGGCCTGCTGTGTATTTGGAGTTTGCGGTGTCTCTCTCCCCGTGGGAGCGTGGGTTTTTCTCCGAGTCCTCCGGTTTTTCCCTCGAAATTTATAACCAACACGCATTAATAGTAATTGGCTGCAATACATTTCCACGCAATAAGCCACTTCGTTGAGCTATAATTTGTGGGCAGGTCGCTTCTGAAAAAGAGAAAAAATCCTCAGCAGGCCTTATATGGTACAATAAAAATAGCTAAAGAGCAATGTCAATAAAACCCTACGGGGGCGCGTGCGCACGACGGGAGAATCACGCGCCGTACCCATAGTCGGCGTCGTCCTCCTCCTCCTCATCGAGGCGCGCCGTCACCGTGCCATCGTGCTTACAGCTGCCGTTAAGAACGCCATTGGTCTCGGTGGGCTCCGTCACGCCGTTGCTGTAGTAGTCCATCTCCTCCTCCTCGTCGTCCTCCTCGTCCTCTTCTTCGTCCTCCTCGTCATCGTCGTCCTCTCCATTGCTGCGGGCGCGCACACGGGGGGGGGGGGGGGGGCGAACAGGGGGGTTGGCTCCGTGTAATTAAATGGGAGGTGGAGGGAGCCGGGTAGGAAGGGAGGCGTCGTTACCAGCCAGAGTTTTCTAAGCGAGATGCACACTCAAGACAATGACCGGGTGCTATTATATTTCATTGAAATCAGACATTGGCAATTCGCTTCTCAACTCTTCGCTGGCAGCTTGCAGGGCACGCGGGTCGCCACGACGGCTTCTCCGCTCTACAGGCCACCATGGCACGTGGCTCCCCCCCCCCCCCCCCCGCCAGGGCGCCGAGGAGCCGAGGAGCCAAGCCACCGCGCGCACACGAACGCCGGCGACACTGACCTGCTGTCGTCTGTGTTGGAGCTGCCGTTGTGGTTGGCTGTGTGCTTGCCGTGCCGGGCAGAGCCGGGCGGCTTTCCCTCCGACACACCATTACTGCTGCCCGCCCCCTCACCTATCACACAAAGACAAATATCCTCTGTATAGCCTTAACAGACTATTGGGGCAAGTGCTGTTCGTGAGCACGTACGAAGGCTGGCACGGCACACGAGGGTCAAACAGCGACAAGAGGGTCAAACTGCTGTGAGCGGGGGCGGCACCTATGAGTGCAGGCATGGAAAAAAAGGTAGTGGTGTGGCCATGCCCGGCCACCATCGTCTCCTGTTGTTCACAACCCACGCCATGAACCTACTCAAGGTTCAATTGACGTAGGAGAGGCCCAAGTGCACTTGCCACCGATGTTACTCGTAGCCGAGAATCAATACGAGGCGGTCACAGCTTGGTGCTGCGCTACCACTCCCGCTCGGAGCTTAGTGCTGCACCAGCACGGCCTGCGCTGTAGGTCCCCACAACCCTACATCACCGTCCCCACGCTCTCTCCGTGCGCGCGTGACGGTGCCTCGTGCGCCCGGGCCCACGCGCCAAGGCGCGTACTCAGAGGATGTGTGCAGGCCCCGTTGGAGGACGACGAAGACGACGAAGAGGAGGACGAGGACGAGGAGGTGGCTGGGTGCAGCACCGGCGTGGCACTGGCGGCCGCGGCGGTTGCCGTGGCGGCGGCAGCGACGGTCGCGACCTGCGCGTGCGCGGGGCTCGAGCCCGGCGTGTGGCAGGAGCGCAGAGGGCTCGCCGGGTAGGGCTCCTGCGACTTCGGGCTGCGCACGCCGCCCAGCGAGCGCACCTCGCTGTCCGTGCCGTTCACCATCTCCACAAACTGCCGCACCCTGGGGCACGCAGCACGCGAGGTGGGGAGGGGGGGGACACACACGTGGTTGGAGCCACGGCGGTTGTCGCGTGGGACCGGTTGTTACAAAGCCGCGGGAGCTTGCCGAGGCTACGGGGATCTCTTGGCAGACGCAGACATCACCTGGAAGTGCTGCCCACATGAAAGGCTGTTGCTAAATTAGCTCCAACGTGACGGATGTATCCCGGCGTGAAAGAATAGGCCACATACCCTTTATACGGGATCTCTAGAGTTGCCTCTGTGGTGGCAATCAGGGTACTTTACCCAAGTAATTTTTCTTAATTAAATTAGTGAAATATGAATTAATGCCCGAAGCAAAAATATTTCGGGATCAACTTGGATTTACATTATTCCATAGACCACCTGGAGGGCCGTCATGGACCCCTGGTGGACAGTGCACTAACCAACCAGAAGAGTCCACTGTGAGACCAGGATTATTGGTTCCAAAATTGTGTTTTACACTCAAAACACCAGTCTACGACTTACACCAACTATCCTATAATACTAATGATGGCAAAAGGAAAAGCATTTGATAAGATTAGGTTCTCCTTCTATAAATACAATTATTTTCATATGGCCAGAAGAGGCTAATGCTAAGCAATGAGTTGACACTGCTGGCACAAAGAACAATGAGAAATGGATTATTGCAGCCCCCAGCCAACAACAATAATAATAATTGGGCTGACAACACAATTGTACAATCTGTTTCAACACAATATCCTAATTTATTCCTGTCTTTCTGCAGAATGCACCTTCGGGTATGAGAAAAGCCTCTCATCCACAGCAAGTGATACAACCGGGGGACACCTCCCAGCATAGGCATGGATTACGCACCAAACACTCGCGATTCCGTGGGGAGGGAAGCCAGTGAGACGTTTGAGTGGCGTTTTGGAGCGACATCGGGTGAAGACGAGGGCAGGGTTAATGTGAAGACAGCAGAATCCAGTCCGCGTGGAATATATTGCAAACGCCACTTCTGAATGGGTTTTCTCCGGATGTACTTGCCACACAAAGATCCTCCGTGTAGCCTTTAATAGACTGCTGGGGCAAGTGTTGTTCGTCTGGGCATCAGTACGGCACACGATGCGGTGGGTGGCCGTGAGAGGGAATCGAACTCGGGTCGCCTAGTTCGTAGCGCAGCGCGCTAACCCGCTACGCTTGCTGCTCGCACGGGGAAATCGCTCGGCGAGACACAAGCCAAACGTCCCAAGGCCGAGAGCTCGTGAAAACAGTCTCCGCCCTCGGGGACCGCAGATAAACCAAGCGGCGTGAGTGTTATTGGCCTGCGCGCGGCCGGGGGTGCTGACGGCGCGGTGGAGACGCAACGCGCCCCTTACTTGAGGCGAAACAGCAGCTCCGGATTGCGGTCAAGCAGGCCCGGGTAGCACTGCTGGGTCGTGTCGATGGCCTCTCCCATCCTCCCACAGAGCACCAGCTTCTGAATGCCTGCACGCGACCCGCACGCACGCACGCGACCCGCACGCACGCACGCACGCACGCGACCCGCACGCACGCACGCGACCCGCACGCACGCACGCGACCCGCACGCACGCGACCCGCACGCACGCACGCACGCAGACCAACGTCTCCCGCTTTAGTCTCGCCGACTACGGGCGAAGAACCGACCACCCGCAGGCCGTAACCGGGCCGCGGCTTCGTTGCATCTGGCCCACTGACATGTGAGCGCAACCACTTGCACAGCGGTTGGAAAGCCCAACTAATGCTGGTGATCAGTTGTCTGCTGGAATTCAGAATCAGAATCAGTATGTAGACTGAAGGAGAAATCCGATGAGCTATGAAGCAGTGGGGGCGGGTCAGCAAGCTACAACAATAAACAATATAATTGAACCTGGGTTCTCCATAATTGAGCACAGCACGGATACATTTGGATTAAGAATCTGTTATTTTAAAATACGCAAGCACAAAGTATATACATTTAAACAACAAGAACGAGCAAACGGTGTCTTCCGGATTAAATAAGGTAAATTGTCTCACGTGAATGAGACGCTGTATTTCCAAGGCTACGCAGTGCAAAACACTGCATGCCGAGATTAAATACAATGCTGAGGCTGTACACCCAGAACACTGTGCAAGCCTCAAGGGTGCCGAGGTATCCACCGAAGCCTGACCTCGCCACTGACATCATCAGCTGATTGCGCACAATACAAGGACTATAGGGTACGATGCCATTTGTTCAAACGTCCACCAAGAGTAAACTGGTGAATGTGAAATGTTAACACACACACATGCACAAAGACAGATATTCCCGTATAGCCTTAACAGACTGTTGGGGCAAGTGCTGTGAGAGAGCACCTATGAAAGCCAGGACGGCACACAAGGGGGTGAGCGGCCAGCAGCACGCCCAGCCGCCTTGGTCTCCCGAGTGGTGATATTTTTACGCATCGTACCAGGTACTCATTTGAGGCTGAGTCGACATAGGGGAGGCGCAAGACCGATTCAGATAATCGTCACCTATGTTGGCCGTGAGCGGAAATCGAAGTCGGGTTGGCAGGTTCGTAACGCATACACATGTACACACACGCGCGCAAAACACGGATGCTAATTCGCAGGCTCGTCCGTACGCATGCCGCATGACCTCAAACGAGGAATACTCGTGCATCGTTAAAATAATCCGCCCGGCCGTTTGCTTTTAATAGGCGACCAAAAATACACCGTGCGTGTGCGCGCACGAGCGGACTGGCATCCTGTGTCCAAAGAGCGAGGCAGCAGCGTGGCCGATAAACCCTGGGACAGAATGCATGCTCCCTGCAGAAACACCAGCCCGGGGTCCCCAGGTCGGCAGGGGTTGGGGTACACGGGGTCACAGGGTTCACAGAAAAACGGCTGGGGTCGGAAATCAATAGCGCCTGTGTGCTATCCCAACGAGTGTTGTAATAAAATGTGTGCAATTCATGTAGACAGCAACAGCACCAAGTCTTTGTTGAAAAACACAAACGATCCGCATGACGCACACACACAACACAGACAGCACTAGCTGCATTCGAGAAGGCAAAAGCTACCGCCATTTGCCACTAAGTGGTGGTGACATCACCACAGCGCTTGTGCCAGGCTAGGTTGCACTTTGAGGCTAGGGGCCATCCATTTAGTATATACGCATGGAGGGGGGAGTTAACCCAAATGCGTTCGCTTGCGTATTGTCTACATTGGCCTTCAAATGAGTTAGATAGTACGGCAGAGGACTATCTGTTTGCTTAAACACCTTAATATTATTAATCTTTGATCGTTTCTGCGTGGATTAAATATCGGCCGTTCATAGGATACGGGGGGGGGGGAGGGGCGTATCAAGCATACGCGTGTGTACAGGGAGGGGGGGAGGGGTCAAGTTTTGACATATTTTTGCATACTTACAAAATGGATGGCCCCCTATTGTGAAGGTTTGCTAACAGGAGGTCATGGACAGACCCAGGTGTAATGGGTTAGCCCTGTGAGATGACTGGCAGATGCACTACCTGTTCAATACAACATGACACGAACAAAGACCAAGATCCCCCGTATAGCCATAACAGACTATTTGGGCAAGTGCTGTTAACGAGCACCGATGAAGGCCGGCACGCTACATGAGGGTGTGTGGGCTTGCCAGCAGCACGCCCGGCCGCCTTTGTCTCCCTCGAGGCGATGTTTACGCATCGCCCTAGATACTTATTTGAGGACGAGCCGACCTAGGGGAGGCCCATGAGCGGTTCAAATAATTGTCATTTGTGTTGGCCTTGACCAAAAATTGAACCCAGGTGACCGGGTTCGTAGTGCAGCGCACTAACCGCTACACTACATGTGAGACACACGCGCGCCCTGCGCACGCACCACCAATTTCCCGTGCTGCGCACTGTGCACTGGGAGGCACTCACGTTGCCGATTCTTGATGGAGGAGAGCTCCTCTTGGAAGGCCTGCCCGGTCGCGCGGGCGAACGCCTCCGCTGTCGTGCAGTAGCCGTGGTGCACCAGGTAGGAGGCCATCATGCTGTGCCACGCGAGCGCACGACCGTCACACGGAGCGCCGCCCACACCACCACGGCGACAAACCAACGGCGTAATGGCACACGCGCCACAGGACCGCACAGCCCGTGTACAGCCCACACAATAATAATAACAGTAGCGTTTATGTGGTGCTTAAATGCCTCGGCAACTCAAAGCGCCCAAGGTTACACCTCGCATCGAACATTTGAAAATGCACAAGGCAAACAATACAACTGGGAAATTGCGATCTCCATGCTCCTTCAATCATCATCCGAGAGCGCATCACCATCCGTCGCCAACACCACACCTGGCCGCCGTCGTGTGGCCAGTGGCAATGTTTAAATACGGCACTAGGCGCTCGCTTAATGTTGAGCCAAGCAAAGGGAGGTAGAGATAGGTTTCAGATGTCCCTCGTCTCCCAATGAAAAATGTTGATACACCGCACCAGGCACACCCATTTGAGGCCGATTCAACTAAGGGGAGGAGGCCGAGGGCAGGTTCAGACATCGCTCATCACCGGCGTACACGCCAGGTCCATGCGATCGTAGCACAGTGCGGGTACTACTGCGCCATCTTGCAGGCTGCGCACCACACCGCACACACCGCACCACGCACACGCCTCTCCCTCCCCATCGCCACCTGCGCAGAATGGATTTGGACAAATTGGCCAGGACACTTAAGGACCACTTCGGCTTCACTCGGCACCACTGCCAGTCTACGATCGCTGCGGTACATGCAGGAGAGCGCATAAGTGCGTGTACGTGTGTGCAAGTTGAAGTGCTGGTATAGCAGTTAGTGCACTACACTACAAACCTGGCCACCTGGGTTCGATTCCCATTCACAGATAACATCAGCGGTGATTATCTGAACCAGTCCTGGGCCTCCCATTCGTTGCCTCAAGTCAGCATCTACCAATACAGGCACTGGGGAGGGAAAGGCGGCCAGGCGTTGATAGTTGCCACACAACCCCCTCGGCACGCCGTGCCGACCATCACGATTTGCTCGCTAACAGCATTTGTACCTACAGTCCATGCAGACCGCACACGGGATTGTTGTCCGTGCGTGACGTGCGTGACGTACGTCTGCAGCGTCATCTGCCAGGTCCCGTGCGGCTGCGCGAGGGGGAAGCGTTCCACGGCGGCCGTGATGCGCGACCGCCACTCCCGCATGTAGTCCTCGATGTCGAAGACAAAAGGCCGTGAGCCGAAGTTCGCCTCCACCACCTCGCCCGGCGTCTGCAGCCCCACCGTCGGGTACAGGTTGGGCTGCAAGGGCCGGGCAAGCCAGGATGGAACATGGATGGCGGGGAGAAGGGAAGGAATGAGAAGAGACGGAGGTTGAGACATGTACGGTGACTGCGCAGGTGTTCGTGGTGGTGGTGGTGCTGTATAGCTCCGTGTTAATCGCTTGACGGGCTGTGAGCTTCTTCAGGAACTGAACTGGGCTGGACAAGCCAGCCAGGGGACTCCTAGGCCGCCCTCGGCTTCCTCACCCAACATCTCTGGCAGGCTATGACTGAAGCAGTGTATGCAGCTGAGCAGATGATGATACCCCCCAAGCTTTATTTTCACCTTTCAAAAAACAAGTCCACCAATTGTAAGTGATGAACGACACTAGAAATAGATCCAGAACAACAATATAAGAAGTTGTGGAAGATTGCCAGTACTTGGCTTTTGGGATTTTGCAGGTATTGCCACGAAAAACATGAATGTTATTTTTCTTTGTTAAAAGATTTGCTTAGATTAAGTTGCTGAGAAGGTTGATACCAATTTCCTACGATAATGTCCTACAATAATTTTTACTTAAAACCTTCGTGACTGCAGGAATTCATATTCTATGGTTCTTTCGGTAAAGTCACGTAGATAGAACAAATAATAACAATAAAATAATAATAAATAATTACTCCTGGTGACGATTGCTTGTGTTGCGATCGAAACGTCGTGATATATTTTTTTTTCCTACAATAATTGATATGCATCCATTAACCCCCCCCCCCACCGGCCTTCATACCTGATTGGCTCATGTATCTCTCTAGTCAACACCGAAACAGCAGGAGGATTACTCTGCCTGTCGCCTGATGATCCTAGTTGTAATTACCGGCAAAATATCAAGGAACTCAAATTGTAAATGTTGTGGCTTTACTCTCCAACACACCGGTGTGCTGTACAAGAAACGAATTGGCATGTTTTGTTTACGTGACAAACCTTACTAATTGGCTGTGTCGGGTGGTGGCGGTTTAACAACACATGGAAACTTACGCGAGCTAACCCAAAAACACGTGTGAATATTATTGGTCGCGAAAGCCGACATGTTCATATGCATTTTTGTCAAATCTGACTTAAAGCTTTCGTGACTGCAGGAATTAATATTCTTGGGTCTTTCGGTAACGTCACGTAGATAGGTTCAAAGAAAATAACCAAAAATAATAAAAAAATACGTTTCTATCGCAACACAAGCGGTCATCTTCATTTTTTTGTTATTTTCTTTGAACCGATCTACATGACTTTACCGAAAGACCCAATAATATGCATTTTTGTTGATTAAATCGACACTCCAAACCTATTACTTCCATGAGCAATGCCCTGCCAACTTATGAACGCAGATAAGTTTTTATCCTGACAATACGCTCCCCACTAAAGTAAAGATGCAGTGCACTATACACAAACGGTTCCAAAAATTGCCAAAAAAACCCTCTTATGAATAGGGGTTAATGTTGGCAGGTTAACCGAAGTTCCATGGGAGTCATGTTTTGTTTGGACCTCAACTTTGACGGTGGAAAGTCATGATTCAGTATCCGCCCCACAGCCCTCTGGCCTTCAATTCCCCCCCCCCCCCCACTTCCATCGCCTGGTGATCTTCAACCGCGTCACGTTCCGACAGGATTTGCAAGATGCGCCGTGAGAAGCACGTTCCGGACATGTGACAAACTGGCCCCCTCAACAACTTTTCTGTCACTTATTTTGCTCCTTTGGGGTATATACGATGAGAGGTAAAAAGGTGTCGATTTAATTGCTGAAATTAAACCACATTTGGTGTGACTAGCCGATGGGGCTTGCAGATGAATGTTTCCCAGTAGGATGTGTACAAGTGGGAATTGAGCTAACACGTTGTTGTGCAAGCAGTGTCATACATGACAGTGGAGTTGCACATTGCACTGCACAGGGTATATCGAATACACACGTCATTACATTTAACCCCAACGACTCAACACTTACACATTTTTTAAAATACCGACCAATCAGTGGGGTGTTTCCACTACTTAGGTAGTGGCCTTTGAGGAATCGCGGGCTCCGTATCTATACATGGTGCCGGAAACTACCCGGGTTAGGGCTCTTGTTTTCAACCGACAATGAAATTTTATAGGGAGAGTAATTTACGAGTGGCTTTCGCATTCAGACGAGTGGCAAACCCTGCGGTATTTTACAGTCGAACTGAACACGCTCCACTTGCAATAATGACTTGTATTTTATGTTGTTCACACCGAGGCGTCTGAAATTAAACAAGTTGTGCCGAGGTTCAACGCTTCTCACCGGGAGGTCTGTGAAGGCAATTCCTACAGAAGGGATGGGAGGAAGGTGGATGGAAGACAAAGATATATGTCAGCACAGATGGCTTACAAGCATCCACCACATACACACAAAAGCAAAGACTCCCAGTATAGCCCTTGCAGGCTGTTGGGGCAAGTACTGTTAGTGGGCACCTACGAAGGCTGGCACCGCACACGAAGGGGCGGTGTGGCTAGCACCATGCTCGGCCGCCTTTGTCTCCCCAGTGCTGATGTTTACATAACACACCAGATTCTAATTTCAAGTGGATTTGATGTAGGGGAAGCCCATAATTGGTTCAGATATTGATCAGTGATGTTTGCCACGAGTGGGAAGCAAACTCGGGTTGCCAGGTTCATAGCGTAGTGCGAATTCCACTGCCCTCCCGCACCGTAGACACACACATGCGCGCACACGGACACAAACACACACTTCATCCCTGTTTATCAGAATAACTGTAGGAACAAGTGCCGCGTGAGAGATAGCACACGGGAGCAGATGGGATCAAAAGCAGACCTGGTCATCTTTGTCTTCTCAGTGCACACTGCTTTAGGGACTCATTTTAGGCTGAGCAGAGATAAGAGCGGCTCAGACCAAGCTCAAGACTGCAATTTCCACCGGAGTTGCAACAGACAGCTATTAGACCAAAGACACAGCTACACCAACACAAACTCACCACAAACACACTGCTCGCTCCAGCAACACAAACACACCGCCCCACCAACACAAACGCATCACCAACACAAACGCACCACTCCACCAACAAAGACACCACACCAATACAAACGCATCACCAACACCAACTCAAACACACCACCAACACAAACACCCTGCACCACCAACACAAACACATCGCTCCACCAACAAAGACACCACACCAATACAAACGCACCACCAACACACCGCCCCACCAACACAAACGCACCACCAACACACCGCTCCACCAACACAAACACCACCAACACAAAAGCGCCGCACCACCAACACAAACACACCGTTCATAATCAACGTTTTTGGGTTAGATCGCGTTATTTATAAATGTGTCGTAACCCTCCACCACCCGACACGGCCAATCAGCACGTTGACAAAAGACAAATAGTTCACTGCTTTAGTCCACCAACACAAACGCAAGCAAACGCACCACATGACACACCGAGCCTCAAAACAGCCATCACTCATTCACGTAAACGGACTGTATTTCTACTGCCCACGCTCAATCGACTACTGGGTGAAATCCTCGAGTGGTAGTTATCTGGTTGTCCTCATTGTCCACGCATAGCAGTGTCGGCTGGTGAAGGGAGGGGGTGTTTGGGGGGGTGCCCAGACAAGTGTTCAGACATCACCTGCCGCGGACGTCAGCCGTGGCTGGGAAACCAACCGGGGTCGTGGGGTTTGTCGCGCGCTGCGCAAACCCCAGCCTCACTAGCGCCACCGCGACAAGTACCGGGATCCACGCTCCAACGGTTACACAATTCTACTGAAATCTCGGGGATGGGTTACGGAATCACAAACTCTCTTCAGCAATGAAACAACACCCTCAGGATTGAATTGGACCACAACAGGCACAAAGATTTTTCCAGTTTCGGTACCTGGTACGGAAATGGAAATAAACGCGACAGGGTGGTGGTACGACACTATGGCATTCTAAATATAGCTTTAAAGGAACAGGTATCACCGTGTAAAAACCACACACCGATATCTGGAAATAATTTCAGCCGAGTAGACCAGACTGAAACTACCTCCACACAATCACCAAACCCGCAACACCCCACTTCCACGCGGGCCACATCACCACAGACAGTGCGTGTGCGTGTGTGCGTGCGTGTGTGTGCGTGCGCGTGTGTGCGTGCGTGCCCACCCAGGCTGTGCCCGTTCTTCGTGTAGAAGGCCGTGTTGTTGACGAGGTTGACGCAGCAGCCGATGACGTCGCCCGTCGTGAACGTGGGGCCGTACGGCTGCCCCGAGCCTGACGAGCAGAAGCTGTGCCCGTCATCGCCGTGGTAACCGTACGAGTACTTATCCCAACCTGCACGGAGACACGGGGTGGGGGAGAAGGGACGCCGAGCCGGGGGGGGGGGGGACACGCGCCGTGAGGATACGCTCTCTCGGCCCGCGATACAAGACGCGCAACCCTGCGGACGTCGCGAGGGGTCGCCGGTTGATTGGCGTCACGCCAGGCGAAAACGGAGAGCGGCAACCCCCACCGCCAGACCCTCCCACGAGGCGCGTCAGTCCGAACGATGCACGGGGGACTCCGATGGTGGACCCACGGCGACGACGGCGCCATTACCCGCAACAGTCAGAACCGCAGTAATTGCGGCGTTAGAGGATGGAGACGGTGCTTGCCACCAAGATAATGTGGCTAACGCTTGCTCGGATCACCTACACCATTACACACCATCTGATCGTTAAGCTGGTGGTAATAGAAACGTGGTGTGACTGTGATTAGTTATTTTTTAATTTTTGCGATGGGTGACTAAGGATATTTTTTTTATCACCAATTATGTTATAAACGTGATATTAAACGTCCTCTTTGGATGCCCTACGCAGCGGAGCATTAAACCACGCGAGCTGTGGTAGCACGTACAGACACGCACACACACGTACCACCACTTCCACAGCGAATGTGCATAGAAAGACAAATATGCCTCAGCATAGCCTCTAACGAATTGTTGGGGCAAGTGCTGTGAGCGAGCACCTATTAAGGAAGCACGGCGCGAGGGGGTGGGTAGCCGGCACTACACCCGGCTGCCTTCAACTTCCCAATGCTGTTTACACACCACACCTGGTACTCATTTAAGGCCGAGTTGACCTACAAGATGTTCAGGGTCAGTTCAGATATTTGTCACCGATTTTGATGGTGAGCGGGAAATTAACTTTGGTCGCCGGGGTGCACAGTGATGGCAATATGACATAATTGTAGCTAAGAACATCACCACCATCAACAACCCTCGTCATCAAACCTTTCAAATATTCCCCCGTGTAGCCTCGAACAGACTGTTGGGGCAAGAGCTGTGAGCGAATAGCATCAGCACCTATGAAGGCCAGCACAGCACACAAGGTGGTGGGTGGCCAGCTCCACGCCCGCTCGGCCACCTTAGTCCCACCCAGTGGCGATGTTGACTACACACCGCACCAGGCACTCATGTGGGGCTGAGTCTATCTCGGGGAGGCCCAGGTCCAGTTCAGATAATCGCCACCGGCGTTGGTGGTGGCCGTGATCGGGAATCAAACTTAGGTCACCGGGTTCTAACTCTGGATTGAATCGCTCAAGACAAACAATACATTCTAAGTTAAACCCTAACCCTAAACCAAAACTTACTCTTTGGTTTTTTCGGTAAAGTCACGTGACTTTACCAAAAAAACCAAAGAGTATGAATCCTTGCAGTCACAAAAGCTTCAAATCTAGAACCTAAACCAAAACCCTAACCTCTGACCCCAAACCCGATGCCTAAACTCTATCTCTTAAGAATCTTTGACTACTATAAATTTTCACATAAGCCACTTTTGTTGCGCTATCATTTGTGGCCAGGTCGCTTCTGAAAAAGACCTATACAGCTCAGTGGGCCTTACCTGGTAAAATAAAATAGTAAATAATAGTAAATAGTCGTAGTACATTGCGCTAACCACTACAACCACACACACAACCACCACTTCCACAGAAACGGCCGCAGCAAAGCTTGATTAGGCTGTTCATACGAATTTAAAAAATTACGTATTTTTTGGTTGATCCATACCTATCAGGCACTTAACATCAAATTAAATAATCGGGAGGGATGGTTAAGTGTTGACAACCAATCATCCACTCAGGGTCACCCGGGGTACCATTGTGTGGGGAAGTAAACAGCGGCTGTCCTATGGATAGCCTCGTCCCCCGCCACTGGAATGTGGAATTTCCGCCACTGGTTTGAGGGCCGTAAACTGGAGATGAACACCACCATCTCTATACTAACTAGAGCCAGAAATAACTTTTCACTTTTCCTCTTGACCTGTGACCTCCAGGCGCACCGCTGACAGCGCCCTCCAGTGGCCTTGCACGGGCATCCCCCTCGCATGACACGAGACCCCCAAGATCCCAAACACAAAGATCCCCCCATATAGCCTTAACAAGATCCCGACCGCATAACGGAATGCAGTGCACGCTGGGAGCCCCCCACTCTATGCATGCTCGTCAATGGAACCCGACGCACAGAGGGGTAGTTGAAACCCGTAATAGCTGCACGCCAACCTGTAGCAGGGTGCCAAGGTTGAGACGTTAATCGGACGTCTTCAAATTTCACAAGCGGATTGCAACTGCCACTGCCTTGGATTAATATAAGTAAAATAACTCCAAATGTGTTTTGGTTGTACCTTCCCTTAGCCCGGTAAGAATAATTTGAGGCTCTTCGTGTATTTAATATAAAACACATGGACAAAAAAAACTCAAAACATTGGGTGTGGTGGCGATGCAACACCCATAACCCAGCAACGTGTAGGGCAGTGAGATTGGCGGACCACAGAGAGAATACGCCTTCACCGATGACGGGAACCCCCCTGGAATGGGCATTTGCTGCCCGCGGGCAAGTCCGGTGAGTCACGAACCTGCTTTTTGAATTTGAGCGCCTTCCCATCTCCTGCCTGGGGACTTGTCTTCCCCATTAGCAAATATACTCGAGGAATGTGCCAATCATTCCAACAAATGTGGCAACGGTCAGAACATTTTTGGGAGTGTTTCCCCTCCCATGGCTCTTTTCCCAAGCTCTTATAAACTTGCTCAATTCAAGACAGGCCAGTTAACTCACCTGTTAAAACTCTGAGAGAGCTAAAGAATGCTTGTCTGCATCAACAACACATTAATAAAGTTTAAACATTAAATGTATATCTTTTTTATATTACAACTCAACACAAGCCCGGTGCAAAGCATCGATCACGGAACGGAGGGGGAAGAGAGCAGGAAGAGTTTGAAGTTAAGATTTGGGCCATGACGCCAGCACACCACAGTGCACGACACTCGTGAGTGACCATAGTACTGGACGTCTGTGAAAAAGAGCTTTATAGCTCATCGGATTCCTCTAGGAAAAAAAGATTATGATTCAGATAGTATCATTGCATCATTTGCGTTTATCACAGGGCAGATCGCCAGCTTCAGAAGAACGATTTCTAATTTACAAGGTAAAGCCCACAGAGCTAAAAAGCTTATTTTCAGAAGTGACCTGGCCACAAATGACAATTCAACTAAAGTGGCTTATTCCGGTGGACATTTATAGCAGCCAAATACTCTAAAACGCTCTGAACGCCGGTTTCTAAATGTGGAGGGACGAGACGCCGTCTCGGAACAACAACAGCGCCCTGCAGAAATCCCTGAAAAACTCACGAGCAGCTGTGGGGAGGGACGAGACGCTGTTTTGGTGCCAGTCGCCCAAGTGGCACACGCGGTACGGACCACTCGGACAACCCCTTCGGCCGCCTGCCACGGTGGGCCCTCATTATCAACTCATCAATTCTTAGCCAAGCGTTGAGACAAATGTTGATGTTGCTCAATGAGCCTTCTGGCAGGAAGATAGTGGGCGATTTGCATCAAGCCACATTAGGAAATTATTTTTCACACTCCAGAAAAGCACATTGTAATATAGAATAATAATGAGATACAATACTTTATCCATTAACTGCTGGATGAAGGCCTCCCTGTAATCTGTCAGTCACGAGGGTTGTTTGACCATACTTCACCGCGCTGGTCAGTGTAGATCGGTGAAGGGGGAAGCTGCAGCTCTGAACCGAAGTCAGGTCACACAGGTTCAAGCGTCTTCAATGAGACCATTGAAACCGTGCCACCTTTTTTGCGAGGGCGACCCGGTGTAACAGGCTAAAATAACCCCTGCCCCGATTAAACCCGGGTATAGTTTGGCCCAGGCCAGAGTATACCCGGGGGCATAAAGTATCCTAGGCTAAACTAGACCCCCCGGGGGGTTAAACTAGACTGGGCCAGACCATACCCCTCCAAGCCAGAATATGCCCAAAGTGAAAGTTCAAAGGCAATTATCCACACAGAGAACAGCCGACAACGAACTTCAATCGATATCTAAAAAGCGTATAAATGGAAGTAAGAATCTCAATTTGATCAATTGAAGCATTTTTAGGGTTATTATTATTCTTTGTGGTTGAAGCAATCAAAGTCTATGTGTTTACAGTTTTAAATAAAATGTTGGAAAAATTTAGTAATTCATGTGTATATCGCTCAACACTATTAGTACCATGGGGGTATGATTTGGCCTAGAGGGGCATAATTTGGCCTAGGCCATAATATACCCCAGAGTATAAATTGGCCAAGGCCATAATATACCCGGGTATAATCTAGCCTAGGCCGTTTACACCCCGGGTACACTACGGCCTGTGGGTATACTACGGCCTGTTACACCGGGACTAACACAATGTGCGTAATGCAAGGGGGTTGTGGGAATTAATTCAAGAGACAAATCGAAATGGCACGGAAGAGTTTTTTTTTGACGGGCAACTTAAAATCCTGAAAGAATAGAGCGACGTCACCTTCAGCAGAATAAAAACGGGTGCTCTGCTAGCGGAGGAATTAATGGAGTATTCCCGTATCAGAGAGCCCAACTCTGACCAATAAACCAGAAAAAAATACATTGATATTAAGAGCCACTTGTGTAGACAAAAAAATATCTCAGTCAGGTCTCACAGGGAGATGAAGTGCATTAGCTGATTAGCGGTGGATTTGTTTTGATTATTGGGGCAAAACTCAATCACCATTCACCGCACACAGGGGGCAGAAACCGACATAACGCACGCCTGGTGCAACCGAATACATAAAACGGGGTCAAAGTGCAGCGTACAAGAAAGAAGCTGCTGCATCGTGTGTCACGCCGCAGTGCAGAGGGGAAGGCATTTTGTCCCAATGTCGCACACGTTTGATTGAACAGCCGAGGCAACAATCAATAGCGGTGTGGAGCACGACGACGGTAAAGGGGAGGGGGGGGGCTATGAACCGCCCCCGACACCACCGAGTGTTGGGGACATCCCACAAGCAGG